ATGTTAGCAGATGAGCTTTTAGAAGAGCTATCATTGGAGGACCCCCTACAAGTTGCTTTGACCAATGACTCTTCAGAAGGATATGTGAGCTCATAAACCGAGGAATATTCGAAGCTCCTTGACACCTTCAGACCAGTTCCAAGCATTCTGAGCATTGAGGGGTTGGACAGGCCAGTTTGCGAGGTCATGGCAGTGAGCTCGATCGAGTCGGGCCTCGAACAAACGAACTCGATCGAGCTGGGGACTGAATGCAAAGAGCAAGCTCAAGGAGATTGGTCTGAGCTGAAGGCGCCTAAAGTCGACCTCAAGCCTTTGCCTGAGGGCCTCAAGTATGCATTTCTGGTGAACTTACTGTGTTGATGTACTTGCATTTTACATAGTTTTAGCACATCTTTTATGCATCTTTTGCATAGTTTTAGCTTCCATTTGCATCATATCTTGTTCCTTTTCTCTTCTTATGCATTCATGTTAGTTTTAGGTTGCATTTGCATACATATGCATGTTTGGTCCTTTGAAATAGGTCTTTTGGAGCATTCTGGAGCATATGGGACATAAGGAGCATGGAGGGACTTGGCACATGGAAGCAGCTCAACTGGATACGCAAAGGAAGAAGGGAGAAGCCATCTTGAAGACCAGCTCGACCGTCTACTCGACCAACCGGTCGAGTTCCTCAACTCGACCGGCCAAGCTTCAACTCGATCGAGCTGAGAAGTCAAAGTCAAACCCGAAAAATGTTGCTTCCCCCTTGACTTTCCTTTGACCCTAAACCTAATCCTCTTGTATTTAAAGGCTCTAAGCCACGAAAAAACCACCAAGCTTTAGATTATTTTGTTTTAGTTTCTTTTAATTTATTGTCTTTTACTTTTTAGAGATCTAATCCCATCTTTGTGTTCTTGAAGCTCTTGCTTCTTGAATCTAGATCCTGGATAATCTCTTTGTATTTGCACTTGCTTATTTCAATAAAAGTTGTTTAATTTCATCTCCTCTTTCTTATGATGTCTCTTTTATTGCATTTGCTTGTGTTTACATTCATGTGTAGTGAGTAGTTACCCATTAGGGTTTGAGATGGGATAGATTAGAGGTTTCATATGCTTAATCCTTCTAGCTTATGGTCTTAATCTAGATTCTCTCTCTTTTGGATAGATCTTAAGGCTACATGACCACTACCCCTGGCTTGTAAGTCCTTAGGCGACTCCCCACACGAAAGTGATGGCATTCGCTGGAAAAGATCCACTAAGAGCTCCAATATCTCTTGCTCTAGACAATAGAGGTCTAAGGGGTTGGATGGATTAGTTTGGGCAATGATCCTATAGCCTCCAAGGTTTGATTCTCACTGGCTAACCCCCTGTTTCTGAGATCATTCCTTGGTTGATAGCCTCCACCTTGGGAAAGGGTTGGCTAGGCATTGAGAAGCCCAATATCAAGAGAAGCCTTGATACAAGGAGTTTTAAGAGCTAGATTGATTAAGTGTAGATTCCTTTGATTGCAAAACCCTGTCTTGAACCCTAATTCTCTCTTTATCTTGTTAAAGTCGTCACCTTTAGCTTTGTTTGTCTCAACTCGTCCCTAAACTCGATCGAGCTGGTACTTTGCTCTGACTCGACTCGAGCTCTTGGTCGAGCTGTTCACTGCTTTGTTTACTTTTATTGCACTGCTTTTCATTTTTTTAGGTTGTTAGTGTTACTTCAAATCTCTTACTGCTTGCTTGACTTTCCTGGTTGTTTCATATTCTCATAGAGTGACAAGTTTCCCATTTTGGATTGATAACCCTTTGTACTACATCAACTATCATGGTTAAAGGGAATTGTTGACTGTGTTTGTGTTTGCATCTTACCACCTCATCATATACCACTGATTGCATTCCACTCATCTCATTTCATATCTTTTCACATCCACACACAAATCCTATCATCAATTTGGCGCCGTTGCCGATTTGGGAATATTTTTGTTGCATTTGAGTTTCAAACACACTTGGACGATCAAGCTATACCACCCCTGTTCTATTGTACTGCTGGGTTTTTGTCTCTTTTTGCAGGTGTATGCGAACTCGATCGAGTCGGTCTACAGAAGACTTGGTCGAGCTAGACTTACAACGGGTAGAAAGAGGGTTCAGAGGTCACAGAGGGTACAAGAGGAACCTGAGGTGCTTGTTGCTGATACAATGGATGTACCAGAGGGGAATGGAAACCCTTTGGGCAATGGACTCGGTCGAGCTAGGCAAACTCGACCGATTGGTCAAGGAGATGCTCCAAACCGCCACCAACAGAGACAAGGGATTGTTCCACCACCAGTGCAGAACCACAACTTTGAGATCAAGCTGGGAATGATCAACCTTGTCCAGAACAAGATGTTCCATGGATTGCCAAGTGAAGACCCCATTGACCACCTTGATGAGTTTGATAGGCTTTGTGATTTGACAAAGATCAATGGTGTCTCTGAAGATGCCATCAAGCTGAGACTCTTTCCTATGTCTCTAGCTGACAAAGCTCACCAATGGGAGAAGAGCTTGCCCCATGGCACAATCACCACTTGGGATGAATGCAAGAAGGCCTTTCTTGCTAAGTTTTTCTCCACCGGTCGCACAGCCAAGCTTAGAGGAGAGATATCCAGCTTCATCCAGCGAAACAATGAGACATTCGCAGAGGCTTGGGAGAGGTTCAAAGGCTACACAAGTCAGTGCCCACACCATGGATTCAACAATGAATCACTACTCTCCACTCTTTATAGAGGATGCTTGCCTAGGTATAGGGAGATGCTAGACACAGCTAGCAATGGGAACTTCCTCAACCAGGATGTAGATGATGGCTGGCAACTTGTGGAGAACATGGCCATATCAACATGGAATGCTATGGAGAGCAGTATGAAAGTACAGACTGGAGCTCGACCGCGCACTCGATCGAGCTGGACGCTCAATGAGAAAAGACATGCTTGCACTCAACTCGAAGTTGGACAAACTGATCCTAGCCCAATTCCCTGCCAAGCATGTCAACTATGTCTCAGAACAAACCTTAGTCAAGGACCAGGAAGGGGAGGAGACAACACAAGAGTTTGCTACATTCAAAATAGACAAGGAAGCTATAGGAATCCTCAACAAGGGAGATACAACAATTATCAAGCCCCCTGGCCGCACCAACACAAAGTGTTCCACAAGGTTCAACCAAGGACTACTCATACCCAACCAACTCAAGATTGGGATATGAAGGAAATGCTCCAACAACTTTTACAAGGGCAAGCCAAAGGTTCTCTGGAAATGAACAACAAGCTGGTTGAGATACACTCTAAACTAGAGTCATTGACTTCAAGAGTCCAAATCATTGAGTCTTCAAGTGCATCATCCTCTTCACCACAAGAGTATGCCCAAGCAGTTACACTAAGAAGTGGGAGGCAATTCCCTAGTAGAGGTAGCCCACCCCAAATCGCTGTGGACATCGATGACGAGGAAGGGGAGGATTTAGTCGACTATGCTGATAACTCGACCCGAACTCGATCGAGCTGGAACAAAACCCTGAACCAGAACTCGATCGAGCTGGAGAAACTGAGACACTGCAAGACAAACCAGAGCTCGATCGAGCTCAGAAGAAACAGACAAAGCAAACTCCAGCCAACCAGCTAAACCTGTTGCAAAGAAGAAAGACACTCCAGCAGGACCACCACCATACAAGCCCCCTCTGCCCTTTCCAGGAAGGTTCAAGAAACAACTGTTGGAAGCACACAAGGCCAAGTTTGATGAACTAATGAGACAGCTTGAGTTGAAGTTGCCCTTCATCGACGCCTTGATGCTCATTCCACCTTATCAGAAATTTCTGAAGGATGCTGTTCAGCAAAGAACCAGGGAAGCACAAGGGATGGTAGTGTTGACTCGTGAGTGCAGTGCAATCATTCAGCGGAAGGTCATCTCCGACAAAAAGGAAGATCCGGGGAGTTTCACTTTGCCCTGCATGTTGGGACCCCTATCTTTCAAAAACAGCCTCTGCGATCTAGGATCATCTGTCAGCCTCATGCCTTTGTCTGTAGCAAAGAGACTGGGATATCACAAGTACCAAGCCTGCGGAATCTCACTAGTCTTGGCAGATAGATCGATAAGGTTACCAACTGGGATGCTTGAAGACCTGCCTTTGAGGATAGGGAATGTGGAAATCCCCACAGACTTCATTGTGCTTGAGATGGATGAGGAACCAACAGATCCATTGATTCTAGGAAGGCCATTCCTAGCTACAGCAAGAGCAATGATAGATGTCTGTGAAGGAACAATTGAGTTAAACTTGGGAAAGGACCTAAGATGAAGTTTGATATCAAGGATACAATGAGGAAACCAACTATAGAAGGTCAGCTCTTTTATGTTGAGGAAATGGATCAGTTGGCAGATGAGCTTCTAGAAGAGTTATCAACAGAGGATCCCTACAAGTTGCTTTGACCAAGGATTCTTCAGAGGGATATGTGAGCTCAGAAACTGATGAGTACAAGAAGCTCCTTGACACCTTCAGACCAGTTCCAAACATTCTGAGCATTGAGGGATTGGACAGGCCAGTTTGCGAAGTCATGGCAGTGAGCTCGATCAAGAACTCGATCGAGTCGAGCCTCGAACAAACGAACTCGATCGAGCTGGGGACTGAATGCAAGGAGCAAGCTCAAGGAGATTGGTCTGAGCTTAAGGCGCCTAAAGTCGACCTCAAACCTTTGCCTGAGGGCCTCAGGTATGCATTTCTGGGTGAAAACTCAACTTACCCTGTCATTGTGAACTCTGATTTGGAACCTGAACAGTTGAGTGCTTTGCTTGTTGAATTGAGGAAGTACAGAAAGGCAATAGGTTACACTCTAGATGATATCAAGGGGATCTCCCCTGACCTATGCATCCATAGGATTCATCTAGAGGATGAAAGTAAGTCAAGCATTGAACCTCAGAGAAGATTGAACCCCAATCTAAAGGAAGTAGTGAAGAAAGAGATACTCAAGTTGCTTGATGCTGGGATAATCTATCCCATCAGTGATAGCACTTGGATATCTCCAGTTCATTGCGTCCCAAAGAAAGGGGGGATCACTGTCATTAAAAACGACAAAGAGGAGCTGATTCCCACTAGAACAATAGTGGGGCATCGCATGTGTATTGACTATAGGAAGCTAAATTCAGCATCTAGAAAGGATCATTTCCCTCTCCCTTTCATTGATCAGATGTTAGAAAGATTGGCAAACCACCCTTTTTATTGTTTTCTTGATGGCTACAGTGGTTTCTTCCAAATCCCGATCCACCCTAATGATCAGGAGAAGACCACTTTCACATGCCCTTATGGCACCTTTGCTTATCGAAGGATGCCATTTGGGCTGTGCAATGCTCCAGCTACTTTCCAGAGGTGCATGACCTCCATTTTTTCAGATCTGATAGAGGAGATGGTAGAAGTCTTCATGGACGATTTCTCAGTCTATGGAGCATCCTTCTCCTCATGTTTGTCTAACTTGTGCAGGGTGTTGCAGAGGTGTGAGGAGACCAATCTAGTACTCAACTGGGAGAAGTGCCACTTCATGGTTCGAGAAGGGATTGTGCTTGGACACAAGATTTCCGAGAAAGGGATCGAGCTCGATCGAGCTAAGGTGGATGTCATGTTGCAGCTCCCTGTTCCCAAGACTGTGAAGGACATAAGGAGTTTTCTGGGTCATGCAGGGTTCTACAGAAGATTCATCAAGGATTTCTCAAAGATAGCAAGACCCTTGACAAGGCTTCTGTGCAAGGAGACAGATTTTGAGTTTGATGAAGAATGCCACAAGTCTTGGACCTTGCTGAAGGATGCTCTGGTATCTGCGCCAATAGTACAAGCTCCAAACTGGGATCACCCATTTGAGATTATGTGTGATGCATCTGACTATGCAGTAGGAGCAGTGCTTGGCCAAAAGATAGACAAGAAACTCAATGTCATCTACTATGCAAGCAAGACTATGGATGATGCTCAGTGCAAGTATGCAACCACAGAGAAGGAACTCCTTGCCATAGTCTTTGCCTTTGAGAAGTTTCGAAGCTATATAGTTGGATCCAAGGTGATTGTGCACACTGACCATGCTGCCCTTAGACACATCTTCGCTAAGAAAGATACAAAGCCAAGACTTCTCAGATGGATCCTTTTGCTTCAAGAGTTTGATATAGAAGTTGTGGACAAAAAGGGAGTAGAAAATGGAGTTGCTGATCATCTCTCTAGGATGCGAGTTGAAGACATGATCCCCATCAATGATTCTATGCCTGAAGAACAGCTTATGGCAATCATGATCTTGAAGGAGAGTTTTGATGAGAAAGCCAGGCTGGAAGAAGTTAAGGCTCTGCGTGATGAGAATTTGCCATGGTATGCTGATATAGTGAACTTCATGGTGTCCGGAGAAGTCCCTAGTAGCTTTGATGCTTACAAGAGGAAGAAATTCTTCAAGGATGCTAGGCATTACTATTGGGATGAGCCCTACCTGTACAAGAGAGGACCAGACAGCATTTACAGGAGATGCATTGCTGAAGAGGATGTGCAAGGAGTTCTAGAGCATTGCCATGGGTCAGTTTACGGAGGTCACTTTGCTACATTCAAAACAGCAACTAAGGTTTTGCAATCTGGTTTATGGTGGCCTACTTTGTTTAAGGATGCAGCAGACTACATTGCCAAGTGTGATCCGTGCCAAAGGAAAGGAGGGATCACCAAGAGGGACGAGATGCCACTAAACCCAATTCTAGAGGTTGAGATCTTTGATGTATGGGGAATAGACTTCATGGGACCTTTCAAACCTCTTCAAACGGGCACAACTACATTTTGGTTGCTGTAGACTATGTATCCAAATGGATTGAAGCCATTCCCTGCCCAACCTGTGACGCCAAGGTGGTTGTCAAGCTTTTCAGAACCATCATCTTTCCAAGGTTCGGCATCCCAAGGGTTGTTATTTCGGATGGAGGCTCCCATTTCATCAACAAGGTGTTTGAAAAGTTGATGAGAAGCCATGGAGTCAAACACAAGGTCGCCACGCCTTATCACCCTCAAACCAGTGGGCAAGTTGAAGTCTCCAACAGACAGATCAAGGCCATATTGGAGAAGACTGTGAGCTTCACTAGGAAAGACTGGGCAGCAAGGCTTGATGAGGCACTTTGGGCTTATAGAACAGCCTACAAAACCCCCATTGGAAGGTCTCCTTTCAATTTGCTGTATGGGAAGGACTGCCACTTACCTGTGGAGGTCGAATATAAGGCTTTATGGGCAGTAAAGATGCTGAACTTTGATATAAAGGCAGCACAAGAAAGGAGGGTAATGAACTTGTTTGAGTTGGAGGAAATAAGAATGAATGCCTATGAGAACTCTAGATTTACAGATGAGAACCAAGGCAGCCCACGACAAACTGATTCGCCTTAAGGACTTCAAGGTTGGGGACAGTGTGCTCTTGTATAACTCCAAGCTAAGGTTGTTTCCCGGGAAGCTGAGGTCAAAGTGGGCGGGACCATTCAAGATTCACGAAGTTCTACCCTATGGGTCCCTCACTTTACTCAATCAAGAGGGGAAGGAATTCACAGTGAATGGACATAGATGCAAGCCATATCTAGGAATGACCCCCACAGAGGAGATCATCACTCCTCTAGAAGATCCAACCCCGGCCTAAAAGGGGTAAGGTCAAGCTAAGAGACCTAAAACAAGCTCACTTGGGAGGAATTCCCATGTCTATCTTATGTATTTATTTTATCCTTTTATTTTTATGATTTTCTTGGCTAAGTCTTACAGGAGCAGGTTTTAGGAAGAGGAGCCGCAAGCTCGATCGAGTGAGCCACAAGAGGCAACCCAGTTGCAGTGGAGCGCTCCTGATGGCCGTCTCCCATCTCCAGACCACGACCTAGCTCCCAGTTCTTTGGGGGACACTGAGGTATCCAAACACCAACCCTTGTATATACCATTTCATATTTTCTTGCATTTGTTCTTGTTTTTCTTGGTTTTGCCCTCTTGAATCTTTCACTAAATTTTTCTCACACAAGGGACTGTGTGATTTAAGTTTGGGGGAGGGTTCAAGAGATGATTTAACCTTGTTTTCTTTGTTCTTAGTTTTTCATTTATCTTTTGCATAGAAAAACCAAAAAAATCATAAAATTTTCAAAAAATCCAAAAATATTTTCATCTTTTTGCATTCATATTTGTTAGACTTGTTTAGGATTGCATTTTTCACTTGCATTGTTGATTTGACTTTGAAAACTTGTCCATCTTTTGCGATTTCTTGAGTGCCCTGTTTTTAGATTCTTTTGTGCATTAGGGTGAGATTGATTGAGCAGCAAGAACCATGTTTATCTTGATCATATCACTGCATGCACATCTCATTCAACCATTGCTGTGATTTGATGCATTTCCCTATCTATTTGAACCATAACTTGATCTTTAATTACCAATGCTTGCATTTGATTTCAACTCATGGCTACCACATACATATCTGGACATTCTTTACACTTTCATATCCCTTTGCTTGTCCAGATAGCTGATCTCTATCTTTGAGACAGTTACCACACCTTAAACCTAAGCCTTTTCATTTCAAACCCCATATTATCTCTTGTGCGAATGTGAGAACCTTTCTTGGCTTTGCTTAGCATAAGGTGTTGTGTTTAAACCGGCAGGGGCAGTAGTTCTAGTTGTCTAGTTCTCTTGGGATTGTTTTCAGGCTAAGTTTGGGGGTGCCAACTCGAGCTCGATCGAGTTGGGTGTAAAAACCAGAAAAGTGGTAAAAGTTGGGAAAAACCCAAAGGAAAAAGAGTTTAGTTAAGTCCAGGGAGTTGGCAGTGTTTAAAAAGGGTCTAGTAAAGGTTTGGGAAGTTAAAAAAAAAGTAAAAAGGGTTCTAAGTAGAATGAAAAGAAGGCAAAGCCTCAAGTGTCAAAAAGGAAAGAAAAGTTCCCTAAGTGTTTAGAAAATCCCAAACCGCTAGATGTTACCTCAAGAAGCCTCTCCCTAGGAAGTTCTTAAAAGAAAAGTGAGCAAAGCTCCTCAGTTTCAAAGGCGAAATGCCAAAAAGGGTAGTTAGGATTTTGTTCTAAAAAGCTCTAAGTGTTGAACTCGATCGAGTTAGGATTAGGCGGCTCGAGCTGCTGTTCTTGCATCATCTTTGGTTCTAACACTTAGCCTTCTGCCAAAGCAAAGCCACTTTCTTGAGAGATCCCTGTTACTAAACCACCATACAAAAGAGACCCTCTTTGTCTCTTAACCCATAAACCCTTGAAACCAAATGAGTTGATTGATCTTGCATGTTTTTGGTTCACTGTTTTTGCTTAATGAATGTTAAAGGGATTTGCTGATTTGAATGCATTGTTTGAGTGACTGTGAAGTGGGATTGATGTTGATAAGCATGGTTAAATCTTAATGAATATCTCTCACCTTGTTGCATTCTAGAATCTCTAAGTTGGACATTTAGCAAATCGCTTTTGAGGACATGTTTTTAAGTGTTGAATCAGCTATTTTCAAACCTCATCTCTTTCTTGTTCTATTTGTTTGCTTGAGGGCAAGCAAAGTTCAAGTTTGGGGGTGTTGATGTACTTGCATTTTACATAGTTGATGCAGAGAGATATTTAGAAATATTCTAATTATTTATATTATTATTTTGATAATTTCCTATTATTGTTTTAGGGTTTTCTAGTTTTGAGATTTATTATAAATAAGCCGTCTAGGCCTCTTTTTGTATTTGGTTGTTGATTATTAATAAAAGAGCTTAGGCTTTGAGAGAAGAGTATTCTCTATCCTTGTTTTCGGTAGATCTAGAGAGATCTCAACGAGTTCAAGAAGCAGGTCCCAAACGAGAATTCTATTGAATTCCTTGGTTGAGCTGGCAGGTCCCGATTGATTCCATTGAATCATTGGTTGAGCTGTGTTTATCTTAGCTTCCGCTACGTCAGTTGGTATCAGAGACAGCATTTTGATTTCTCAATCAAGGTTCGATCCTATTCTTCTGTATCATGTTGTTTGGGAGTTTTTCTTATCACACGGATGAATATCCGTTTGTTCTATGTGAAGATTTCTCTGAAAGTTTTAGAGAAGTTGTTGGAGATCCAATCTTTGATGTTTATGATGACGAGGACAATATCGATGAAGACAGTAGCTTTGTTGTTCAACAAAAGGAAGACGATGGCTTTGTTCAGGAGGTGGCTGATATAAGTGTTGTTTCTTCCCTTCATCAAATTAGGTCACGTGGAGTGCAATTACTTGGAGAATCATGCTTTAATTTGGGCTTAAACAATACAAGGCCCATTGAAAAATATGTTTTGACGTGTGTAGCACATTCTTGTACGAGAGTCAAAATCGAGGAAGGAAGTGAACAATGGTTACTTGTGTATGAAGAAACTAAAGAAAAGGAATCTGAAGCTGAAGATCATCGCTAAGATTCGAGGGCGAACCTTCTCCAACCCGGAGAGAATGATGCAGAGAGATATTTAGAAATATTCTAATTATTTATATTATTATTTTGGTATTTTCCTATTATTATTTTAGGGTTTTCTAGTTTTGAGATTTATTATAAATAAGCCGTCTAGGCCTCTTTTTGTATTTGGTTGTTGATTATAAATAAAAGAGCTTAGGCTTTGAGAGAAGAGTATTCTCTATCATTGTTTTCGGTAGATCTAGAGAGATCTCAACGAGTTCAAGAAGCAGGTCCCAAGCGAGAATTCTATTGAATTCCTTGGTTGAGCTGGCAGGTCCCGATTGATTCCATTGAATCATTGGTTGAGCTGTGTTTATCTTAGCTTCCGCTACGTCAATAGTTTTAGCACATCTTTTATGCATCTTTTGCATAGTTTTAGCTTCCATTTGCATCATATCTTGTTCCTTTTCTCTTCTTATGCATTCATGTTAGTTTTAGGTTGCATTTGCATACATATGCATGTTTGGTCCTTTGAAATAGGTCTTTTGGAGCATTCTGGAGCATATGGACATAAGGAGCATGGAGGGACTTGGCACATGGACGCAGCTCAACTGGATACGCAAAGGAAGAAGGGAGAAGCCATCTTGAAGACCAGCTCGACCGTCTACTCGACCAACCGGTCGAGTTCCTCAACTCGACCGGCCAAGCTTCAACTCGATCGAGCTGAGAAGTCAACAGTCAAACCCGAAAAATGTTGCTTCCCCCTTGACTTTCCTTTGACCCTAAACCTAATCCTCTTTGTATTTAAAGGCTCTAAGCCACGAAAAAACCACCAAGCTTTAGATTATTTTGTTTTAGTTTCTTTTAATTTATTGTCTTTTACTTTTTAGAGATCTAATCCCATCTTTGTGTTCTTGAAGCTCTTGCTTCTTGAATCCTAGATCCTGGATAATCTCTCTTGTATTTGCACTTGCTTATTTCAATAAAAGTTGTTTATTTCATCTCCTCTTTCTTATGATGTCTCTTTTATTGCATTTGCTTGTGTTTACATTCATGTGTAGTGAGTAGTTACCCATTGGGGTTTGAGATGGGATAGATTAGAGGTTTCATATGCTTAATCCTTCTAGCTTATGGTCTTAATCTAGATTCTCTCTCTTTTGGATAGATCTTAAGGCTACATGACCACTACCCCTGGCTTGTAAGTCCTTAGGCGACTCCCCACACGAAAGTGATGGCATTCGCTGGAAAAGATCCACTAAGAGCTCCAATATCTCTTGCTCTAGACAATAGAGGTCTAAGGGGTTGGATGGATTAGTTTGGGCAATGATCCTATAGCCTCCAAGGTTTGATTCTCACTGGCTAACCCCCTGTTTCTGAGATCATTCCTTGGTTGATAGCCTCCACCTTGGGAAAGGGTTGGCTAGGCATTGAGAAGCCCAATATCAAGAGAAGCCTTGATACAAGGAGTTTTAAGAGCTAGATTGATTAAGTGTAGATTCCTTTGATTGCAAAACCCTGTCTTGAACCCTAATTCTCTCTTATCTTGTTAAAGTCGTCACCTTTAGCTTTGTTTGTCTCAACTCGTCCCTAAACTCGATCGAGCTGGTACTTTGCTCTGACTCGACTCGAGCTCTTGGTCGAGCTGATACTTCACTGCTTTCTTTACTTTTATTGCACTGCTTTTCATTTTATTTAGGTTGTTAGTGTTACTTCAAATCTCTTACTGCTTGCTTGACTTTCTGGTTGTTTCATATTCTCATAGAGTGACAAGTTTCCCATTTTGGATTGATAACCCTTTGTACTACATCAACTATCATGGTTAAAGGGAATTGTTGACTGTGTTTGTGTTTGCATCTTACCACCTCATCATATACCACTGATTGCATTCCATACATCTCATTTCATATCTTTCACATCCACACACAAATCCTATCATCACCTGTCATTGTGAATTCTGAATTGGAACCTGAAAAGTTGAGTGCTTTGCTTGTTGAATTGAGAAAGTACAGAAAAGCCATAGGCTATACTCTAGATGATATCAAGGGAATCTCCCCTGACCTATGCATTCATAGGATTCATCTAGAAGATGAAAGTAAGTTTAGCATTGAGCCTCAAAGGAGATTGAACCCCAATCTAAAGGAAGTGGTGAAGAAAGAGATACTTAAGTTGCTTGATGCTGGGATAATCTATCCCATCAGTGATAGCACTTGGATATCTCCAGTTCATTGCGTCCCAAAGAAAGGGGGAATCACTGTCATAAAGAATGACAAAGAGGAGCTGATCCCTACTAGAACAATAGTGGGGCATCGCATGTGTATAGACTATAGGAAGCTAAATTCTGCGTCTAGAAAGGATCATTTCCCTCTTCCTTTCATTGATCAGATGTTGGAAAGATTAGCAAACCATCCTTTTTATTGTTTTCTTGATGGTTACAGTGGTTTCTTCCAAATCCCGATTCATCCCAATGATCAAGAGAAAACCACTTTCACATGCCCTTATGGTACCTTTGCTTATCGAAGGATGCCATTTGGGATGTGCAATTCCCCAGCTACTTTCCAGAGATGCATGACCTCCATTTTTTCAGATCTGATAGAGGAGATGGTAGAAGTCTTCATGGACGATTTCTCAGTCTATGGAGCATCCTTCTCCTCATGTTTGTCAAACTTGTGCAGGGTGTTGCAGAGGTGTGAGGAGACAAATCTAGTACTCAACTGGGAGAAGTGCCACTTCATGGTTCGAGAAGGGATTGTCTTGGACACAAGATTTCCGAGAAAGGGATCGAGCTCGATCGAGCTAAGGTGGATGTGATGTTGCAGCTTCCTGTTCCAAGACTGTGAAGGATATCAGGAGTTTTCTGGGTCATGCAGGGTTCTACAGGAGATTCATCAAGGATTTCTCAAAGATAGCAAGACCCTTGACAAGACTTTTGTGCAAAGAGATAGATTTTGAGTTTGATGAAGAATGCCACAAGTCTTGGACCTTGTTGAAGGATGCTCTGGTATTCGCCCCAATAGTTCAAGCTCCAAACTGGGATTACCCATTTGAGATTATGTGTGATGCATCCGACTATGCAGTAGGAGCGTGCTTGGCCAAAAGATATACAAGAAACTCAATGTCATCTACTATGCAAGCAAGACTATGGATGATGCTCAATGCAAGTATGCAACCACGGAGAAAGAGCTCCTTGCCATCGTCTTTGCCTTTGAGAAGTTTTGAAGCTATGTAGTTGGGTCTAAGGTGATTGTGCACACTGACCATGCTGCCCTTAGGCACATCTTTGCTAAGAAAGATACAAAGCCAAGACTTCTCAGATGGATCATTTTGCTTCAAGAGTTTGACATAGAGGTTGTAGACAAGAAGGGAGTGGAGAATGAGTTGCTATCATCTCTCCAGGATGCGAGTTGACGACATAGTCCCAATCAATGATTCTATGCCTGAAGAACAGCTTATGGCAATCATGGTCTTGAAAGAAAGTTTTGATGAGAAGGTCAGGCTGGAAGAAGTCAAGGCTTTGCGTGATGAAAACTTACCCTGGTATGCTGATATAGTGAACTTCATGGTGTCTGGAGAAGTTCCTAGTAGTTTTAATGCTTACAAGAGGAAGAAGTTCTTCAAGGATGCTAGGCACTACTATTGGGATGAGCCTTACTTGTACAAGAGAGGACCAGATAGCATTTACAGGAGATGCATAGCTGAAGAAGATGTACAAGGAGTTCTTGAGCATTGCCATGGGTCTGCTTATAGAGGTCACTTTGCCACATTCAAAACCGCAACTAAGGTTTTGCAATCTGGGTTATGGTGGCCTACTTTGTTCAAAGATGAAGCAAGTTACATTGCCAAGTGTGATCCATGCCAACGGAAAGGAGGAATCACCAAGAGAGATGAAATGCCAATAAACCCAATTCTAGAGGTTGAGATCTTTGATGTATGGGGAATAGACTTCATGGGACCTTTCAAGCCTTCCTCAAACGGGCACAACTACATTTTCGTTGCTGTAGACTATATGTCCAAATGGATTGAAGCCATTCCCTGCCCAGCCTGTGATGCTAAAGTTGTTATCAAACTGTTCAGAACCATCATCTTTCCAAGATATGGCATCCCAAGGGTTGTTATTTCGGATGGAGGTTCCCATTTCATCAACAAGGTGTTTGAGAAGTTGATGAAGAAATATGAAGTCAAGCATCAAGTTGCCACGCCCTATCACCCTCAAACCAGTGGGCAAGTTGAAGTCTCCAACAGACAGATTAAGGCTATATTGGAGAAGACTGTGAGCTTCACTAGAAAGGATTGGTCAACAAGACTTGATGAAGCACTTTGGGCTTATAGGACAGCTTACAAAACTCCCATTGGCAGGTCCCCTTTCAACTTGCAATATGGAAAAGATTGCCACTTGCCTGTGGAGATCGAATATAAGGCTTTATGGGCAGTCAAGATGTTGAACTTTGACATAAAGGTTGAGGTTGTTTCCCGGGAAGTTGAGGTGAAAGTGGTCGGGGCCATTCAAGATACATGAAGTTCTACCTTACGGATCACTCACTCTGCTCAACCAAGAGGGGAAGGAATTCACAGTAAATGGGCATAGGTGCAAGCCCTACCTAGGAATGACCCCCACAGAGGAGATCATCACTCCTCTTCAAGATCCAACCCCTGCCTAAAAGGTTTAAGGTCAAGCTATGAGACCTAAAACAAGCTCACTTGGGAGGAATTCCCATGTCTATCTTGTACAAATCGCTTTTATCTTTTATATCTACGATTTCCTTGGCTAAGTCTTGCAGGAAAAGGTTTTTAGGAAGAAGAGGCAAACAACTCGAGGCACAACTCAATCGAGCAAAGAGAAAGCTCGACCGAGCTACACAAACGAAGTCGAGTGGAGTGCTCCTGATGGCCGCCTGCCCTCTCCTGACCACGACCTTGTGATGTACTTGCATTTTACATAGTTTTAGTACATCTTTTATGCATCTTTTGCATAGTTTTAGCATCCATTAGCATCATATCTTGTTCCTTTTCTCTTCTTATGCATTCATGTAGTTTTAGGTTGCATTTGCATACATATGCATGTTTGGTCCTTTGAAATAGGTCTTTTGGAGCATTCTGGAGCATATGGGACATGAGGAGCATGGAGGGACTTGGCGCATGGACGCAGCTCAACTGGATACGCAAAGGAAGAAGGGAGAAGCCATCTTGAAGACCAGCTCGACCATCTACTCGACCAACCGGTCGAGTTCCTCAACTCGACCGGCCAAGCTTCAACTCGATCGAGCTGAGAAGTCAAAGTCAAACCCGAAAAATGTTGCTTCCCCCTTGACTTTCCTTTGACCCTAAACCTAATCCTCTTGTATTTAAAGGCTAAAAGCCACGAAAAAACCACCAAGCTTTAGATTACTTTTGTTTTAGTTTCTTTTAATTTATTGTCTTTTACTTTTTAGAGCTCTAATCCCATCTTTGTGTTCTTGAAGCTCTTGCTTCTTGAATCCTAGATCCTGGATAATCTCTTTGTATTTGCACTTGCTTATTTCAATAAAAGTTGTTTATTTCATCTCCTCTTTCTTATGATGTCTCTTTTATTGCATTTGCTTGTGTTTACATTCATGTGTAGTGAGTAGTTACCCATTAGGGTTTGAGATGGGATAGATTAGAGGTTTCATATGCTTAATCCTTCTTGCTTATGGTCTTAATCTAGATTCTCTCTCTTTTGGATAGATCTTAAGGCTACATGACCACTACCCCTGGCTTGTAAGTCCTTAGGCGATTCTCCACATGGAAGTGATGGAAATCGCTGGAAAAGATCCACTAAGAGCTCCAATATCTCTTGCTCTCGAAATAGAGGTCTAAGGGGTTGGATGGATTAGTTTGGGCAATGATCCTATGGCCTCCAAGGTTTGATTCTCACTGGCTAACCCCCTGTTTCTGAGATCATTCCTTGGTTGATAGCCTCCACCTTGGGAAAGGGTTGGCTAGGCATTGAGAAGCCCAATATCAAGAGAAGCCTTGATACAAGGAGTTTTAAGAGCAGATGATTAAGTGTAGATTCCTGATTGCAAAACCCTGTCTTGAACCCTAATTCTCGCTTAGCTTGTTAAAGTCGTGCCTTTAGCTTTTTCTTCAACTCGACCCTAAACTCGATCGAGCTGGTACTCTGTTCCACTCGACTCGAGTCCTTGGTCGAGCTGTTGCTTACTGCTTTTTTACTTTTATGCATTGCATTTCATTTTTTAGGTTGTTAGTGTTACCAATCTATTACTGCTTGCTTGACTTCCTTGTTTCATATTCTCATAGAGTGACAATTTCCCATTTTGGATTGATAACCCTTTACTATAACAACTATGATGGTTAAAGGGAATTGTTGACTGTGTTTGTGTTTGCATCTTACCACCTCATCATATACCACTGTTGCATTCCACCACATCTCATTTCATATCATTTCACACCACACACAAATCCTATCATCAATTTGGCGCCGTTGCCGATTTGGGATATTTTTGTTGCATTTGAGTTTCAAACACACTTGGACGATCAAGCTATACCACCCCTGTTCTATTGTACTGCTGGGTTTTTGTCTCTTTTTGCAGGTGTATGCGAACTCGATCGAGTCGGTCTACAGAAGACTTGGTCGAGCTAGACTTACAACGGGTAGAAAGAGGGTTCAGAGGTCACAGAGGGTACAAGAGGAACCTGAGGTGCTTGTTGCTGATACAATGGATGTACCAGAGGGGAATGGAAACCCTTTGGGCAATGGACTCGGTCGAGCTAGGCAAACTCGACCGATTGGTCAAGGAGATGCTCCAAACCGCCACCAACAGAGACAAGGGATTGTTCCACCACCAGTGCAGAACCACAACTTTGAGATCAAGCTGGGAATGATCAACCTTGTCCAGAACAAGATGTTCCATGGATTGCCAAGTGAAGACCCCATTGACCACCTTGATGAGTTTGATAGGCTTTGTGATTTGACAAAGATCAATGGTGTCTCTGAAGATGCCATCAAGCTGAGACTCTTTCCTATGTCTCTAGCTGACAAAGCTCACCAATGGGAGAAGAGCTTGCCCCATGGCACAATCACCACTTGGGATGAATGCAAGAAGGCCTTTCTTGCTAAGTTTTTCTCCACCGGTCGCACAGCCAAGCTTAGAGGAGAGATATCCAGCTTCATCCAGCGAAACAATGAGACATTCGCAGAGGCTTGGGAGAGGTTCAAAGGCTACACAAGTCAGTGCCCACACCATGGATTCAACAATGAATCACTACTCTCCACTCTTTATAGAGGATGCTTGCCTAGGTATAGGGAGATGCTAGACACAGCTAGCAATGGGAACTTCCTCAACCAGGATGTAGATGATGGCTGGCAACTTGTGGAGAACATAGCTAACTCAAATGGAAGCTATGGAGAAGAGTATGATCGCACCAACCGGAGCTCGACCCACCACTCGATCGAGTCAGACGAAAAGTTGAGAAAAGATGTTAAGGCATTGAATGAGAAGTTGGATAAGCTGATCCTAGCTCAGTCCACAATGAAGAAAGTCAACTTTGTGTCTGCTGAGGAGATGGAACCAGTCCAAGAAGGGGAGGATACACAATTTGCTGAGGTGTGCTACATGAGCAATGGGCAAGGAGGTTACAACAAAGGATACTATAATTACAAGTCCAACCCTGCCATGTCATACCGCAACACTGATGTTGCTAACCCTCAGGACCAAGTCTATCCTCAACAACAAGCAGCTCGATCGAGTCAAGCCACAACATGGGTATGGTCAAAAGAACAATTACCAAGGACCACAAGGCACTTTCCCTGGACAACAAATGAATATCCCACCAGGCTTTCCCCACCAACCGCCCCAGCCTGCACCTTCACAAGAGAATGAGCTCAAGGCAATGCTAAAGCAACTACTTCAAGGGCAAGCTGATGGGGTAGTGGACACAAGCAAGAAGCTAGCTGAAATAAACTCTAAGATCGAGAACCTCAACACAAGGGTTTACTCTCTGGAGAATCATGCTTCTTCTGTTGCTGCTGCTACAAAGCAAGGACAACTACCTGGTAAAGCTATTCAGAACCCCAAGGAACAGTGCAAGGTCATCTTCACTCAAGAAGGACTTGTTGAAGAAGAGGATCAAGAAAGGGTCATTGAAGATTTTTGTTTACTGCTGAATGATGAAGAGATTGTTGCTGCTGAGGCTCCTGGAGTCCAGATTGATCAACCAGAAGTGCAGGCACCTACTGTGGCCATTCACACTTCACCAGTTGAGCTCGCACAACAAGCTCGATCGGCAGCTCGATCGAGTCCAACTCTAGCTCGATCGAGTCCGACCTCTCTGTCCAAACCTGTTTTGCTTGATCCTTACCAACCGGTTGCCGCTTCCTCGTCTCGCCTACTTAGTCAAGGTCACAAGGAAGTGATTCACAAGTTCAGAAGAGATCTCAGTGGGATTGGAATTGAGTTGCCTCCTATGGATAGCATGAGTGAGGCATTTGATCAAATGCAAATGGTCAAGGATGTTCTAGCCAACAGTGATAAAGTTTCAGAGGTCCTACAAGAGTCTACTCATCAGTTCAACCTGCTTACTTCACCCACCTTCCTACCAAAGGTCAAGGATCAAGGGAAATTCACTCTCCCTTGCACACTTGGGCATCTTGAGATTGACAATGCCTTAGTGGATTCTGGAGCAAGCATCAATCTGATCTCTCTCTCCATGGCAGAGAAGCTAGGCATTGCTGGAGCCTTGCAGCGCCCTACTACTTCAATCATGTTTGGAGATGCAACTTCTAAGTCTCCTCTTGGAGTGTTCAAGAACTATCACTTGAAAATTGGAGAATGCATCATCCAAACTGATCTCACTGTGATGGAAATGGAAGAAGAGAAGGATTTGCCTCTGTTATTGGGAACCCCTTTCCTTAGTACAGTTGGCGCTTCAATAGACTTTCACAAGCAAGAAGTGATCCTTCACAAGGTGAATAGTTTGGTGTCATATCGCTTGCAGCCTAGAGGTTCAGACTTTTGTGCCACAATTGACAGTACCACTCTCAGTTCTAAGAGTCATGGAGCTACAAAGGTTGTGAAGGAAAGGGTTGACAAAGAACCAAGAGTTGGGAAGGATAAGGATGAGAGAGGACCAAGGATTGAGAAGCCACGTCTTGAGAGGGCTAGAGTTGAGAAACCACGTTCTGATAGACCAGAGCTGATAGACTTGTTCAAGCCCCTTGTGTGCTTGATGAAGAGAGCCTTCAAGCTTTGTTTGATGAGCCACTAGGAAGGGCTCTAAAAGAAGGGGAGGATGTAGCCTCTAAGGCAAGACCAGGGATAAAAGAAAGGATCCACCAGCTCAGGCCCCTTCAGTCAAGCCATCTCAGCTCACAATGACTTTGTTCCCCACCAAGTTTGAAAATGGGAAGATTGAGTACAAGATAAGGTACAAGGGGAGATCAAGGCCATTCTCTAGAGCCAAGGCCTTGGTGACTTCAGAACAGTCCAGGGACCCAACCAAGCTAAAGGAGCTTCTGTCTCAAGTCCTCACTATCACCCTTGATGGTGGGACTAGCTCAACCAATGCCTAAGAAGGTAAAGGTCAAGCTATGGGACCTTAAACAAGCTCACTTGGGAGGAAGTCCCATGTTTATCCTTGTACATATTCTATTTATGCAATTTCTATCTATTTTGTGTTTTAACCTTTCAATAAGTTAAGTTTAGGTGACAAAGGAGCCAGCTCGACCGACAGCTCGATCGAGCTAGAAACAGGGCAACTCGATCGAGTTCCACAACTCGACCAAGGTAAGTTTTTGAATTTCAAATTCAACCGTTTTCTTGGTCAAGGGAGTGGGTCCCACAAGTTAATTTTGGTCCCCCACTTCCTGAATTCGATCAGAAAACCCTAGCTTTTGTCCCCCTTTATTCACCTTTTAATCTCAACCACACATCTCAAACACTCCCTCTTCCCCATAACTCGATCGAATCCACCTCTCCCACACCCTAAATTTTCTGAAATCACCTCTCTCTCTCTTCACCACAAGAAAAATCGAATTCTCTCTTTCTCTCTAAGTTTTTGCGATTTTCATTGTTCTCATCTTGTTTGCTTTAGTTCTAGCTTCTGTGATTCTTCCATCATCCAAGCAAGGTATGAACCCTAAACCCTTGATCCTTCATCTCGATTCTCTTATTGCTTGTTTCTCTTTGATTTTGATTGCATGTGTCCCTTGTGGGACTTGTTCTTGAGTAATTGCTTTCATATCTCTCTGTATAGTTTGTGAATTTGCCTCACCTCACCTCTGTTTTTCATTAGAACTTGTTGCATGTGCTTGATTGAATTTGAGTTTGGTAATTGGTTAGGTGCTTGTTTTCACTAGAATTGCTTATTGTTCCATTTACTTGTTGTTCTTGGTTCAATTTGATTGATTAGCATCCTTTCCAGCTCTTATTGTTTGAATTAGGTTCGGTTATACTCTGTTTTCACTTAGCTCGATCGAGTTTGTCACTCGAGTTTTTTGACTCGATCGAGCTGAGTGTCGAGTTGACCGAACCAACATTACAACTCTAATTCTTGAGTTTTTGATGCATTTCAGGAACCCAACTTCAAGAAGCAACAGTTTAAGATGTTGAGAGGTGAAGGAAGCAAGCAGCGTTCACAAAGAGGGAGATAACAAGAGGAGCAAGGAGAATGCTTAAGACACTAACCAAGGAAGATGAGGAAGAGATTGAGAGGTTGAGGGAAGAGAGAAGGACCAAGAGAGGAATGACCCATCAGCAGTGAGAGTGAAGGGAGAATTTGAGATTGGGTGAACATCAAGAGGAGAAGTGATGACTCTTCACAAGAGGAAGGAGAAGAGGTGAATCAAGAGTTGAGGAGAGTGAGCATGAGAGCAATGAGAATGTGCCCATGGAAGAGGAGGAGTCAGAGGAAGAAGAGGATGAGCTCCCCATGTACCAAGAGCATTATGATGCTCTCTTCTCCATGGACTTTGTGGAGACCAAGTACCCACATGATGACACAATGAGGCTCTTGGGATCTTTGAGGATGTGGAGCTGGTCCTCAAGAACATGCGCTTGGCCAAGTTCTTCTCTTACCGCTGGAGTCATACAAGGAGCTCACTTGTGAGTTTTTGGCTCAATGAGGTTCCACAAGTACAAGAGCTCGATCGAGCTGAGTTGGACCAAGGTTGGGGATGGATCACGTTCTTGGCAAGGGAGAGAAGGTGGTGACCTTCAGGCAGTTGGAGATCCTTTTTGGTTTCACTTATGGAGAGGGAACCCATTGGGATATCAAGGAGGATGAGCTACAAAGGGTTGGGCTACAATCGCTGAGAGGTACTCTTCCTCAAGGTCAAAGCTCAAATCAGGAGCCCAGTGCTTGAGATATGTGCACAAGGCACTTGCCAACACCTTCTTTGCAAGGAAGGCACTGGGACAATAAATGAAGGAGAGGTGAAGCTCCTTGACATGGGAATCAAGCCCATCATCTCACGCACCAAGGATGGGAAGAAATCAGGGAGATAGAATCCATGCAGGGAATCTCATGCCTCTCATTGACCAGCTACTCTCCTACAAGACAACCGCCTATAGCACTCGGTTTCAAACGGGAAGGAAGCTTAGTGTTGGAGGAGTCATCACGCCTATCCTCTGTGCAGCTGGAGTCCATTTGGACAAGAGAAGGTCTACTCCAGCAGGATGGATGGACATTAAGTTTTGCAAGACCAACCTCCTCATTGAACACAAGGAGTTGGATGGGAGGTTCCAATTCAAGTTCACTCATCCATTGGCTGGCCCTCCAAGCTTCTTCTGCCCAACCCTGAGCTCACCACGGTTCTAGGAGGTACAACATTGACTTCAGCCCCCTTGTACACATTAGTTGGGCATGAAGAGGATTTGCGAGAAGAGGAGCCTGAACTCGATCGAGCTGAGGATCGAGTTGAGGACAACGCTCATATGAATGCGGATTTGGGTGAGCCTGAGTGCTATTATTTTGAGGAGTATGAGGCTCCAAGGATGAACCCCTCTGTTGTGGCTGCCCACAAGAGGATTGGACTTCTCCAAAGGTTCAACAAGTGGCAAGGGAAAGCCATGGAAAGATGCAAAAGTCCATGGACAAGATGGTGAGCAAGATCAAGAGTTTGGAGAAGAAGGTTTCTGGTTCTTCATCAAGAAGAAGAAGTCCAAGGCCCCACTTTCCCTAGGAGTAGATCACTCCTCACCACCCAAGGAGGCTCCCTGCCCAAGAGCCTCACAGAGCCTCTTCATTCGAGCCAAGGGAAGGAGAAGACAACTCACAGAGAAGGAGGAAGAGCTCTAAGGCCAGACGCTCCAACTCGACCACCGGACTCGATCGAGTCCAAACAGAGGAAACTCAACTCGATCGAGCTGAGGGTCGAGTTGACCTGGAGGAGCCCCTGTTTGAGAACCCTGGATTCGAGTACGATCCAACGCCCTACCAGGACTTCTCTCAGACCACTGGACTCCCTACAACCGTTCGAGCAAGCAGCTCCACCAAGGCCAAGGGAGCCACACACACTTCGATGAAGAAGAAGAAGAAGAGGAGCCGCAAGCTCGATCGAGTGAGCCGAACCCGGCGAGTGGAGCGTCTCCTGATGGCCGTCTCCCTCTCCAGACCACGACCTTGCCTCCCAGTTCTTTGGGGGGCACTGAGGTATCCAAACACCAACCCTTGTACATACCATTTCATATTTTCTTGATTTTTTTTGTTTTTCTTGGTTTTGCCCTCTTGAATCTTTCACTAAATTTCTCTCACACAAGGGACTGTGTGATTTAAGTTTGGGGGAGGGTTCAAGAGATGATTTAACCTTGTTTTCTTTGTTCTTAGTTTTTCATTCTCTTTTGCATAGAAAAACCAAAAAAATCATAAAATTTTCAAAAAATCCAAAAATATTTTCATCTTTTTGCATTCATATTTGTTAGACTTGTTTAGGATTGCATCTTTCACTTGCATTGTTGATTTGACTTTGAAAACTTGTTCATCATTTGCGATTTCTTGAGTGCCCTGTTTTTAGATTCTTTTGTGCATTAGGGTGAGATTGATTGAGCAGCAAGAACCATGTTTATCTTGATCATATCACTGCATGCACATCTCATTCAACATCTAGGCTATCCACATCAGCAAAAAAATTCAATAAATTGTATTTAAAATATTTAATACATGACAATTCATATTTCTTTACATATAATCCAAAGAAATACATAAAATAAATCAAAAAATTACTAATTGAGAAATATAAAGTATGTAATAACTTGATATAAAAATTTAATAGAAATTGTAGTATAAATTAGAGAAAAAAATGATATTTTTTACTCTAAATAGTATATATTTACCTTGGTTTGGAAAATTTTATCGGGATTTTTTCTAGTTTTAATCCTATGTAAATTTTAGTTTCTAGTTTTGCCTAGCAACTTTGGCTAGTTTCTAGTTTTTAGTTTTTATCGGGGTTTTTTCTCTAATTTTTTTTCCTTGGAAACTGTCTGCTATGACAGACATGTAATGTTAGAGAAAAATTAGCACATTTCCCTGAGCCCGTCACAATTAGTAACAATAGCAAATCCCAGCCCGCCTTCATCATTAACCTCCTCAAATAAATGGCAAGTCTTGAGGATAAAGGCAAATCTTTGGGAAAATGTGAAGAGAGATATATGCCGACTTGAAGAATGGAAATAAATCAAGGACAAGAAGAAGTTTTCCAATTGGAGAAAAGGAATAATATATTGATGAAGCTGACCTCCTCTCCTTATAAATATAAGACCCCTCATTATTTGAAGACCATCCAGAATCATCCACAATCATCCAGAAATCCTCTGCAAACACCTAGAGCAATCATTACTCTTTTCTTCTTTGTTCTCTTTATTTTCCAATTCCGTCTCGTCGAGGACTGTTCGACGAGACCTCCTCTTTATAATTGCATACTTCATCTCGCCAAGCCTATTTGGCGAGAGCACCATCGTTGTAGTCCTTTGATATTTCTTCGAGTGAAAGTTCTCAGTTCCCAAAAAACTCAATCTTTGATACCCACTCTTAAGTGTGCTATCTCAGATCTAACAATTTGCGCCCCCCATGGGGCTGGGAACGCTTCTCACTTTCAAACTCAAAGAAGTTCTAGGATTATAAGAAGACAGCAGATTTCAAACTTAGAAGAAAACACTCCCGACAGGAGCCCTCGCCGAAACCGGAAGGATCCTGACGATGAGAGAGACCTAGCAACGGTCAAGAAGGCCCTACGCCGAGATGAGAAGAGCCCATCTCGTCGGTCGACCTTGCCGACTCGAGGGGAAACACTGTTTCCCTCCCCTCGTTGCGGCAAAAGAAGACCTTGCCGACTCAAGGGGAAACCATCTCGCCATGACAATATCCTCAAGGCGATTCGGACGCTCATAAAGCCACTAACCGAGGGCTTCAAAGAGATGCGAGCCCAGCAAAAGAAGATCCAGAGCAGGTCGATGCCCTGGCCCAAGAAGACGACGAGGAACCGTTGGACCCCGCTGCCACGACGACCAATGGAACCGCTAATTTTCCCGCACGAGTTAGCAGACGAGCAGTCTTAGAGCTCGAACGAATGCACCGTCGCCTTGACGAGTTCGACTCTAAAATCCATCGCGTCACCAGCTCAGCCCCTGAGTTGACAAAAGCACTTGCCGACACCCGAAGGAGCCCACTCACAGCAAGGATTCGCCGAATCCAACTCCACAATAGAGTACGACTTAAGATCGAGCCCTTCGCTGGCGACAAAGACCCGAAGAAGTGGTTGACGGCATTCAACCTCGCCATGACGAGAGAGAAATATGACTCTCTCGACGAGAGGGATGCAAACTATTGCCAAGTCTTCGTCGAGCATATGACGAAGGAAGCCCTTGTCTGGTTTTCAAACCTCTCTGTCGAGACGATCGATAACTTTGACGATCTGACCAATGCTTTTCTGAAGCACTACTCCATGAACATGACTAGGATCACCCGAAACATGTTCACTATGACTCAATCAAAAGGCGAGCCCCTAAGAGAATTCATCGGAAGATTCAAGAATGAAACACTTGATCTCGACGACATGCCAGATATTGTCCCGCTCGAAGCACTTCGTAACGGTCTCTCGTACAACTCAAAGTTCAAGGAAGACCTATCGCTGAGACCATCGACGACCTTGGAAGACGCGCTCCACCGATCCCAAAATTACATTTTCCTTAAGGAGGATAAAGACTTCTATGCCGAGAAGCACGGCGTGAAGAGATCTTTCCCTTTCACAGAGATGACAGCCCCGAGAATCATTGGGACGTGACCGAGATGCCGTCACAATCCGCTCCGTCAACCCCATCTCGTCCACCGCTCGACAACGCCACGAATGACGAGTGCGATCATACTTTGTACTGTCACTTCCACAGAAGAACTGGTCATTCTATCGACACCTGCACGGAACTCATCAGTAACCTCTTGGAGCAGTACGAGAAGGAAAACTTTCCGGTGGAAGACTTCTCCCACGTTCATGGATTTCCATGAACTTGCGAAATTTCTGGTCTAGACGCGTAACCTCGCGTCGTGGAAAAAAAAAAAAAAAAAAAAAAAAAAAGGTTGTTGTCAAGACGCGTAGCTTCGTCTCGTCAAAACGAACTACGAATGGCTTGATCCGGCATGGTACGTAGGCAGTCTTTTCACCAAGACACAGCTGTAAAACTAATAAAAATAAAAAGCTATTTGTTTTTATTAGTTCGCTCGAGCGCACGCACCTTTCTGTGACTCCTTAAAGACGTTTGTCTCGGCAGAGAACCCGAACAAGAATTTTTTGTTCGAAATTGCCATGATGGAGAAGCATCAATCTCATTCTCAAACCCCCCGAAGAAATTATGTCGTCGATAATAGATCAGCAAATTGTTTTGTCGACAGACTCGTCTTGTCAAAGGCATCACGACAATGGAATCAACCCAGAACTAGCGAAGCTGTGCCACGACCTCGACGCAATAAACTCCAAATTACATGACGTTACAAACTCGCCGCACAAGATTGCATAAGCCCTTGTCGAGACGGAAAACATCACAAATAGCAATACCGTCAACTTCAGCTTGTCGATGGCAGAAACATCACCTTCACACTCATCAACAACTTAAGGAATAAGCCGAAACAGCTAGCTTTCGCATCGTTACGGCTAAGAATGACTTGGTCAATTGATCTGCTATGATCAACAAACGCATCTTGTCAACAAGTCATTCGTTTTGCATCGCCGAAATGAAATCAGAAGCATCTGAAAAGAACTACGAATGGTTTGATCCCGGCATGGGTACGTAGGCAGCTTTTTCACCGAGGCGCAGCCACAAAAACTAATAAAAATAAAAGCTGTTTTATTCTTATTAGTTCACGCAAGCACACACATCTTTGTTATCTTTGTTGACTCCTAAAAGATATTCCATCTCGGTAAGAAATTCGTGTTTAACTGGTAATTAAACAAACTCTTCCGCCGAGATGTATCGCAAGCGCATGCAAGCAAATCAAGTGAGTTACTCTCTCGCCAAGAGAAACTTTCTAGACGTTCTGGCCCAACGTTCGACTGCACCCAAGCACCCCGCACAGCACAAAAAGCCGAGAGCACGCACCTCGCACGGCTCTAAGCCATACGGGTGAGAAAAAACTGCTGTCTCGTCACGCATATCGGACTTAAAAGTCGTAGGCATAAATCGAGTTTTTAGACCTCGTCGCCGAATTATGAGGCCTACCAAGCCGCCGCATTCAAACCTAATACGCACAGGTCGGTGTCTCGAATGAGAGTCTTGACGAGCTTCGTAGCATCGTCGTCTCGTCACGACGCACTAGCACTGTCTAAGAGTATCATCTCGGCATGACACACTTGAGGTTGACGAGTCGTCCCAGCATGTTGACTCATTAGTCTAATGACGATTATATACTTGATTCATTACGCCTGGTTGATGGCATATCGCCCCTCATTAAAAGATATAGTAAAAAGCTGGATTCTTTCATTGCGCTGTGAAATTATCAACTATATCTAAATTGCGATTTTTAATCCAAACAACATATGGATTAAAACCCTCTCAGGTAATGTTATCTCATCGATAACATTCGCCGCGATGACAAAATTTCAGCAAAACGAGTGAGGAAGAAGGGGGCTAAAGCAGCTTTGATCTTGGAAGCATCCGGACTAGACCCATCTCGGCATTCGCATTCTCCTCTCTCGAAGAACTCACTCAGCTAACGAGGTTCCCATCAGCAGCCCGGCGAAAGTTGGCCAAACTTGTTTTGTCCCCTCCATCTCGGCAAGCATATCATAGAGTACAACACTTATCCATCTCGGCATACCTTCACGGCACCAGAACAGGCGGACTGCAACGTCAAACTAAACTCGGTGAAGATCAAAACCCTATCATTCGTCCCGTCGAAGTCGAAAATGGTCGCGTCAACACGAACAATGGTCGCGTCAACACGGACAACGGTCGCGTCCACCCTCTATTGGTCCCAGACGCAGAAGCTCCAGTCACCAAAGCCGCGACTACCGCACCCATGCAAGATTTTGCTGTTCAAATCGCCGAGACGCAAGCTCCACATCACCAAAGGCGGACGAGTTATCCCTACTGGACGAACCCTCTTCCAGACGACGACAAGAAGCATCACGACAACAAGCTCTAGTGCCGCGATGAACGACGACAAATAAATCTCGTTGACGAGCTCAAGTCAAATCCGAGAAAATTCAACACGGCAACTTATTCTCCTTGACGAGCTGACGTCAAGTCCAAGAGGAATTGCCAAAAGCACATTGCGGACAAGGTCAACGTACTCTTTTCCCTTTTTATGGTTTTTATCCCATAGTGGTTTTTCCATATCAAGGTTTTAACGAGGCGGCACGAATCTAAAGTCAAAACGCAACATCGCACCGAAGTCGAGCTAGTATTGGCGCCACGCAATTGTTGCTAATAGCTCTTAAGCTCTACTCTTATACATGAAGTCCGCCGAGATCAAAATGCATTTGACTCGACGAACTGAGGGGGGGACTTATTGTTAGAGGAGAAATTAGCACATTTCCTGAGCCCGTCACAATTAGTAACAATAGCAAAGCCCAGCCCGCCTTCATCATTAACCTCCTCAAATAAATGGCAAGTCTTGAGGAGAAAAGCAAATCTTTGGGAAAATGTAAAGAGAGATATATGCCGACTTGAAGAATGGAAATAAATCAAGGACAAGAGGAAGTTTTCCAATTGGAGAAAAGGAAGAATATATTGATGAAGCTGAACCTCCTCTCCTTATAAATAGAAGACCCCTCATTATTTGAAGACCATCCAGAATCATCGACAATCATCTAGAAATCCTCTGCAAACACCTAGAGCAATCACTACTCTTTTCTCCTTTGTTCTCTTTATTTTCGTATTTTGTCTCGTCGAGGCCTGTTCGACGAGAACCCCTCTTTATAATTGCATACTTCATCTCGCCAAGCCTATTTGGCGAGAGCACCATCCTTGTAGTCCTTTGATATTTCTTCGAGTGAAAGTTCTCAGTTCCCAAAAAACTCAATCTTTGATACCCGCTCTTAAATGTGCTATCTCTGATCTAACATGTAATTCTCTAATGTTCCAATTTGGTAATACTTTTCAGATTTTATCAAAATAATAATAATAACTAGGTCTTGACCCGTGCTTCCCAAGCACGGGATGTTGTGATTTTTATAAGAAAATTTTAACTATTGACACTGTAATTATGTAAATAATAGAATATATGGTTGTGATATATAATGATGAAATAGTGTTATTTTGATTATCTAAGGATGAGATGAAATAAATATGCGATCATTAATGTTATTTTTTGGTGAGTTACAAATTGTTACAATTTGAAGGTAGATTCTGACCCCGAGAGAACAAAATCAAACCAAAATCGAAGTCTGAATAATATAACATAAATATATATGTGTTATTTTACGGGTTTGCTTGGTTTGATTTGGTGAGTTATAATGTTATATAATATTTCACATTTGCCAACCCCTAACGGAAAGTAAATTCACAGGGACAATTCATAAAGCAGATCAAGTGGCTGATATTTTGGCTGAATCTATAAATCTAAAAGTTTGATTGTATTATTATGTTCTCAAATCGATTTGGTTCGGTTTAGGTTAACCGAATAGGTAACCAAAAATTTGTAAATCAGCCGAAAATCGTCGTTTAACCATTTCTCTGTTTCTTTTTCACCGATCTTTCTTCCTCCTTTGATATGGCTTCCGATTATCTACTTCTTCTTCTTCCTTCAAGCACATCGCCTCCTCCGCTTAGCTAATTAGACATTTTTCTTCTATAGACTCTCTAGAATTATTATGATTTTGGAATTTCTGGAAATTCTGAAATCTCAATGAATCAAAAATTGGGTTTTTGGGGTCTGACCTTATGTAAGGGCTTATAGTTCTCTTTGTCTTGGATCCTCCTATACTCTTCTCAGACGACTCCAGCAAAATCGATTATGTCTCTCCTCGTGGCAGCCTTGAGACTCAGATCTCTAGCTCAGGTAAACCCCTAAGCTCAAGCAATTTCCCTTCCTGTAGCAATCCTTGGATTTTAACTTGCCTGCGAAATCAGAGAACTCAAATCAGATTGTGATAGTGATAATTATCAGAAATCTAATTAGGAGAACATTGCCTTGTGATAGTGAATATAATTATGATTCTAACTAACTTAACAATCTTAATTCGTCTTTAGAACTGTTTTAAGATGATCAAAATTAACTGAACTCCAAAGTAAAATATATATTGTAGATGTTCCATATTAATTTTCTTGATTGAATTAATTTAAGATTTCGTAATCACAATTTTTGTTTGTATGTTTGACAGGCTGAGTGATCATCGGTCAAGAGGATTGAAAAAGAGACATTGTTCTTGAAGCCAAAAGGACCTCACTGCAAAATATTGAGGTAGACGATTTTTGCTTTTCATACCTTTTTGGAATCCCTGATTTTACCGTTTTTTTAGGCATTTAGTTGTCACATTTTATCAAAACAATAATAGTAATAATAATCTATATATAATAGCAAACTGAACAAATACCTTTTATTGTCGTACATTTTCGTTTTTAACCGTCTTATCTATAACCGCTCATATAGAGAGTTGTGTCTTTTTTAGTCACTTTTTTCCGTTTATAACCGCTTTAGACGAAAGTCGCAACTTTTAATAATTATGTCTTTTCACTTCTATATATATTGCTTAGTACATCTTTTCAGTTTTGACCATATTTGTTTCTACATTCGTCTTTAACAACCCATATTCACAAACTCGTAAATTTACAATTATCTTCGCCCTCCTCTAGATCTACCGAATTTGAAGACTATCACAATTTTCATGGGGATCAAAAACAACATCCCCACTTGGATGCATCTCATTGCTTCGTTACGTTCTTGCTTCCACTTAGAATCTCCATTATCAAATCTCCAAAGCTATACACATCACACATCAGATATCTCTGAAAATATCCCTTGCATATTCCGGAGCCATATATCCACTTCACATTTTCAACATAAAAAGATCAATAGAAAGCGATTTGGTTTATAGAATCTAACCTTCTAAAGAGAATTTTTTAGTTACTATTTTCTAGCCTGGTCTTGTCGCTAGTTGAAGATCCTAACCATCTGAATGGATGACTGTATTTCGTTCCACAAAATTTTCTGCTCACTCATTACTAAGCGATCTTTTTCTTTTAAAGTAAAGAGAGACTAAACTGGCATGGTAAATTAATTCATTAGGCAGAAAAATAAACTAAAATTTTATGACTCATATTGCTTTAAGTCATTAGTAATATTTTATTATTTTTATTTCACTATACATGTTTACTAGTATGACTGCCCGTGCATATTACGGGACAATTTAATATATACTCTGTATATTTTTGTTAAATTACCAAATTTTTGTAAAACTAAAATTAAATATTTTATTACATACAAAGTACAAAAATATGAGAGTAATGAGAACATTCTAAAAACAATCTTTATTACATATAAACCTAATCTAGTTATTTTATTTATTTTTCATAAGTTGACATACATTTGAAGTGAAAGTTCTTTTTGCAAGTTTTAAGGGGTTAAAATATTAATCTCGATATAAATATATAACTCTGCATAATTTAAAACTCCTTCGTAAAAGAAATAGATTAATCAAGAATTATACTAACAGAAAGAAACGTTACACGTAGTTTAATTAAAGAAACTCACAAGTCTAATAATAATCTAATATATTATTTGCGAAGTGAAAATTTCGTTTTGAGGCACCATGTTAATTCTCAGCTGGTTGATTACCCAGCTACCCTTAATGAAAATCTATTATTAAATCTTCATAATTCTTTTTTTATTAATTATTTTTTATTGTATAAGGCCAAAAAAATATAGAAAATCTTGACGATATCTTCAAAATTTCCTTTTTTATTAATTATTCGTTTTTGTATTATGGAAAAAATACATTATTTTTATCTTATAAAAAGAATAAAATTATAATTATTTTTATAAAAAGAGAAAACCCTAGATTTTAGAAATCTATATACAAAGCTAGAAGTTGTCCATCTCAAAGTCGGGTCTTCGTGTTCTTCATCTTTATGTTTTAGGTAGATTGTTCGTGTTAATTATCTTGGAAATCATAACATATAAATCATCGTAGACCATAGACTCGGTAAATCTCTCTCTGTATATCGTAGCTCAGAATTCAATTTTCTGCTAGACGTAAAGTGGTTGAAGTAAAGCCTTACCCTTGATATAGGAAGAAAAAACTTACTGCACAAGTAAAGAATAAGAATAAAAGGCTACAGCTCCTGATTTCAAGAGTTTTGAGTTAATATAATGGTTTAGATGTTAAGCTGCTTTGGGATTTGACTATGGTCGTGTCTTTTCAAAGTCGCCAGCGGCTACGACATGCGATGGAGAAAATAGCCTATGAGGGAAAGAAAATAACACTGAACTGTCGCTCGAGATGAACGCGGGTGCTGTCCATGACGTCTTTTTTAGTCGCTGGAATTTATGGGCGACAGTTCTCATGTCTTGCGATTGGCTCGACTCCGCTCATGACGCAACATGCCTCCGCCACCACCGAATAATTTCGTAATCATGACTATTTTCTCAGTCGCAGTCGCAGGTGCAGCGACTTTGAAAAGAACACGACCTATGGAGTAATCTTCCTTTGCTGAATTAGTTGTTGGTAAAATTTCTTACTCAAGTTTTTAGGTTTACTTTTCACATAACACACAAGGTATTGAACTGGATTGGCTTCTGAGTACAATTCTTTCGCTAATTGTTGTTTAGATCTCTTCATCCAACACTGCAGGTATGGATGATGAAGAAGACGGATCTGCCTCTATCCATCACATGCTTGACGATAAGCATAGAGTTGCATTTTTCAAGAGTTAGCTTGCCAATATCGCTGAGGCTTTCAAGTGAGCCAACGTTTTTTTCTTCTTCATTCATATGCTTGCAAGCAACAAAACTTAGGAAACAGAGACATCATACTGAGAGAGTGATTTGTTAATGATGAAAACTGAAACACAGACGAAGTGGATATAAATGTATACTGTGTGGTCGTTGCTGGACAACTTTGAGCCCATCATGAAAATTTCTGAAAGGTCATGAAGTCAACAAAGGTAAAAAGGTATGAAAAAGCTGGAAACCAAAGCTAGCTA